ACCTAATCATAAAGCAAGCCGAACCGTAACCACGCATTCACGATATTCTACATCTACAGTGTAAAGATTTGGGATGTATGTTTTGACTACCAGCTCAAATGTTTGATGTCGTTTGATTAGTTGATGGGGACACTAAATGAGCACCCTACTCGAGTGGTCTAACAATGAAACGATAACGGGTAGAAACCACAGGGAACCAGCAAAAACTATTCGTTGATTTCAAAGCTGACGGGCAATTGCATCTGGGAATTTGTATGAACCACAGATCAGCAAATTGATCAAAACTGTTAGGGATTGTCCATCTTTTGATCTCACCGAACAATAAATTTGACATATATTCGATAAAACCGGACTGGACTTATCTTTTGTCATCTGGCAGCCCTAATTATTAACATCTCAACTCCACCCCATCACCACTACCAACACACACATACAGGAGAGAGAGAGGCATACACAAACGACGTGGATTTGTTTGCTCAGCCCTCGAGTTCACTCCACGAGAGCTAAACCCGTTCTATGAGTGGACAAGTGGAGATGCGCGTGTATTTACATAAAGCGCAGTCTTCTGATTTCCACTCCGGGCAAAACACATGAACAATTGTTGTGCATTTGGTCCCTGAGATTTATCATCTGATCCGTGCGTTTTTTAAGCATACACAAAGGATGGTCAATTTTCATGACATATCCCAAACCGGGAAGGAATCACCCATCGAATGGGATTAGAAAACACTCGGAATTAGGAACGATTATCTTCCAGTATTTCGTCAAACGGATCATCAAAGGAGTGTTGCACAAGTGCAATCCACAACTGTGTTAAATTGCGTTATTCTGCTCAAAATGTTTTTTTTACTGTGTTGATTTGCAATTTAAAACATATAAAGCACATTGCATGCAGAAAGCCGTTTTAGCCACAAAAATCACAAATCAATAGTTTGTTCCTTTAAAAAAATCCCCGGAGCCGAACAGTGCGCATTGGCATTTTTTCTATTTGGTTTTTGTTCATAGAATGATTGGTTGCGTGGGTCCTTTTACGGTTTTACGTTTCTCTGTTTGTAGCCATTGCCTAGTGTTTACAGATTTCTACCATCCCGTAATACATCGGTCAGCAATGAAAAATCCGTTCGCCATATTGTTCAAATAAATTTATCAAAACTCACTAGTTGTGCAACCAATTCGTGTTGAATGTAAAAAGTACAAATGTGGTTGCAAATTAAATTTGATTCAATTTTGCGGAATCACAAGATGCCTTTCTGTCTGCTAACAGACAATTTGGTTGATGGGTATCCAAGGGTTGTTTGATACTTGTATCGTAACCGAAAGGCAGTCACGTTTGGATTGATTTTCAGTTATAGCTTGCCTAAAACAAAAAATAGAATACTTTTTCATTTCACTGTTCCTTGCGACATATTACACAGGGTTAGATAATTTCGTCATCTCCGAATTCAAGTTTTTTCTAAATATTTTTACTTCACTAACAATTTGAAAGATAAGTGCAAAAT